GTGGGCGAGGACATAGAGAGGTTGAAGGGGAGGCTATCCTCGGTATTAGAGAGGAGAGCCAGGCAGCTGATATACAGGGCAAGAGTCAGGGTAACGGAAGAGGAGGAAAAGTGTACGAGATACTTCTTTAAGAAATGCAGGACAGGAGATAACACAGTTAAGGAATTGGTGAGCCCGACTAGAAGCAGGCAGGTAACGACTGAGGGAATGATAGAGATAGCGAGGGATTACTATGGGGAGTGATATGGGAGGAAGGGAATGGATAAGGGGATGCGGGAGGCTCTGCTGGGAGAGCTGAGACATGAAAGAGAGGATCCAGATGGGGGAAGTGGGAGAGGCGGTGAGAAGGCAAAACAGGAACAAGACACCAGGACTGGATGGAATTCTACATCACATTTTGGGATTTGTTGAAGGAGGATATGCTGCAAATGTGCAGGGAGACGCTGGAGGGCGGCCTGGTGCCATAAGACATGAGTGAGGGGCTCATCACACTGATGTATAAGGGGAAGGGGGACCGGAGAGATTTGGGAAACTGGAGGCCAGTTACGCTTCTGAACTCAGACTATAAGATCATGGCAAAGATAGTCGTGACACGCTTGGGGAGGGTGGTGGGAGAGGTGGTCGAGCCCGACCAAACATGTGCAGTGCCGGGACGAAAGATCTCGGACTCACTGGTGCTACTGCGGGAGGCGATCGAGGTGGAGGGAGAGAGATGGGTGCCCCCTGGGGCTCCTAAGTCTGGACCTGGAAAAGGCATTCGATCGGCTTTCACACGAGTACGTCTTTGCAGTGCTAGACAAAATGGGAGTGAGGGGGCCCCTGGTGGAATGGGTGAGATGCATATACCAAGGACTCAGGACCAGGGTGATGGTGAACGGAGAACTCTCAGAGACGATCTTAGTGGAGTCAGGGGTAAGGGAAGGTTGCCCGATGTCCCCAGTGCTGTTTGTAATGGGCATGGAACCTCTCGCACAGGCGATACGGAATAGCCAGGGGACCAGGGGAGTGACAGTGCCAGGGAACAAGGAACAGGGGAAGGTAGTGCTGTACATGGACGGCGTGGTCATCCTCTGCAGGGACGTGGCATCGGTATGGGGGGCCGGGGAAGAGACGAGACGATTCGGATGGGCCTCTGGTTTGAAGGTAAACGCCAAGAAAAGTGCGCTGATGGTCTTTGGAGACTCGAGACTGTTCGAGGGGCGGCCACCAGAGCTGGAGATGAGGACAGAGGAGGTCAGGATATTAGGTATAGACTTCTGTCGAGAGAAGTCAGCGGAGAGGAACTGGGGAAGGAAGATAGGACAGGTGAGGGAGCAGCTGCGAAGGTGGGCAGGGAGGAAGCTGTCGATGGAAGGATCACGGTAGTGAGGACGGAGGTGATGCCGACCCTTAATTATCTAGCATATGTATACCCACCAGGCAAGGGGGAGATAAGGAGCCTGATGTCAGCATTATTTAGGTTCATCTGGGGGGGGGGGGGGGGTGGATAGGGTAAAGAGGGTAGCGATGTACAAATGTGTAGAGAACGGGGGGAGGGGGGCCCCAGATGTGGCGCGGGTCCTGCTCTCAACCTTTGAGTGCAACTCGCTGAGGCTGTTCTACTCCGAAGCACCCCGGGAAAAGGCAGCCTGCTACTTGAGGTACCGTCTGGAGTGGTTAATGAGGGGGCTCGGGATGTCCCAGCTGACGAGGGGCACGCCTCTGGCCTGGCCACAGGGATGGCTGCATACGGTGGTGGGGGATTACATAAAGGAGTATGGCTTGCACCAGGAAAGGGGCCCATGGACCCCCAAGAAAGTGATGGCAGAAGTGAATAAAGGGGAGGCCTGCGAGGTGGCAGGGGTAAAGAGAGCAGTATACCGGCAAGTATGGAAGAACACCGCATCAAAGGCACTCACAAAGGAGCAAAGAGACTTGTCATGGTTAGCGGTGCTAGAGACAAGGAGCTTCATGTTCGCCCGGCAATTAGCAAACTCCCCCAAATGCCCGAGAGGTTGTGGCAAGGATGAGGATGCGGTACACGCAATGGTGAGGTGCCCCTTTGCGCGGGAGGTATGGAGGAACGGCCCGCTGCTGAACCGGTACTACCCGGCGTAGGTGACTGAGCAGGACATTGTGGGGTGCCTTGAGGGGGGTGGGGGAGGGAGACAGAGACCGGGCGTGGGCCATAATAGGTGCGACGAAGGAGGCTTTGTGGGGGGCGCGCAGAAAGGAGCTGGATGGGTCCCCTATGTTGCCTGTGGGGGTATGTCAATGGGCGAGGAGGTTGTTGGAAAGGGTGATGGAAGTGGACCGGGCAAGGTTGGGACACAGGGCCGCGGGCGTAAAGTGGAGGTGGCCCCGTGGGTATGGGAAGGGACGGTGAGGGGTGGCCGTGCGTATTTAACTGGCCTACTGAGGTGTGCAGGTGAGGAACGCCCAGACACGGGGGGGGGGGGGGGGGAGGGCGATGCGAAGGAGCGTTGCGAGGGTGAATGGTGGTGGCGACGGTGGGGAAGGGGGGCACGGGGCGGTGGGCGTTGCGGTGGTTGGCCTTTGTTGTATTGTAGGTGGGGGCGCCCGCGAATGGGATGAAGATTGGAAGGGGCCTGTCGAGACGCCTGGGATGGAGTGTTACTCCAAGTGTTGCTTTCGTTGGGTTTCTTTGTTATTTTCGCTGAGAAGTTAATAAAAACGTTTAAATCACAATTACCAGCGAAACGTCGTACTCAATAATTGTAAATGTTGTCGTTTCACGCTTCAACACACCGGTGGGTGAAAGTAGTGAACTATTTGTCTTTTGTCAACGTGACACTTTTTTGCTGATTGGCCGTGTCGGGTGGTGGAGGGTTACGGCACATTTATAAATAACGCGATCTAACCCAAAAACGTTGAAATCTATATTTATTTAAAGTTGCGCATTTTGATGTGACGTCACATTTCTCACACCCCCCCCCTCGTCACAAAAGTCTGACCCCCCCCCCCCCAGGTGTGTGACGTCATTTATGGGTGGCCCCTTAGTGCAGGAAGGCCGATTGGTGCTCATGGGTTGCCCAGAAGTTGGGAGAGGTGCGTCAATCTTGCTCACAAAACGCATTTTAATACCATTTAAAAAGAAACTTGCAGCACTGCACCTATTACCATAACAAAGCAGCACGGTGATTTGGCGTAAGGGAACTCCAAAAGAAATACGGACTCTTAATGAGACCGTGGAATCTCTAGGAATGTGGATCTGAAGACCATATGGAGGTGGGGGGGGGGGCTCCCAGAGAATGGATTAGGGTCACGATGACTGGATGGCTGAGCCAGCTTGATGACGTGGGTCACGTGAAGGATGGGAGGAAGTACAACAGCTTCTGCAAGTCAGGCACCGGCTACGAAAGTAGCAAGAGGCACGGAAGTTATGCCTCGTGAACAGGCACGTTATCACTGGGTTCACGTAGCATTTGCTACATGTAAAATGGTATCGTTTACACGTAACAGGTCCCTGCGGGGTGGGCTGGTAGGAACGAATAACCAAAGAATATAAACATAATGTATTATTACACTTGTTTAGCCAGGAAAGCCTCACTGAGTCTAAAGGTTTTTGTAGGGTCCTGCCAAGTGTTTGCAGTAGGGGGCGATGTTGCTACACCTAATCGGACGATACGAAGGGAGAGTTTGAGGCCTAGTTCTAGGCTTTAGGCCAAGCTGTAGGCTTTAGGCCGCTGTGAGTTAATATTTAATTTAAATGTTTTAATTATTAATGTAAAAGCTTTAAATTTAAATGTTTCTATTTAAAAACATCAGGGAATGTAACATTGTTAAACATTAACTCCCTTTCACACACGCGGGGGTACGATACGAAGGGAGAGTTTGAGGCCTAGTTCTAGGCTTTAGGCCGCTGTGAGTTAATTTTTAATTTAAATGTTTTAATTATTTATGTAAAAGCTTTAAATTTAAATGTTTCTATTTAAAAACATCAGGGAATGTAACATTGTTAAACATTAACTCCCTTTCACACACGCGGGGGTACGATACGAAGGGAGAGTTTGAGGCCTAGTTCTAGGCTTTAGGCCTAGCTGTAGGCTTTAGGCCGCTGTGAGTTAATTTTTAATTTAAATGTTTTAATTAAAAGCTATCTCAGGGAATTATGAGTGAATTTTTTATTTAAATGTTTTAATTAAAAGCTATCTCAGGGAATTATAAGGGAATGTTACACTTGTTTAGCCAGGAAAGCCTCACTGAGTCTAAAGGTTTTTGTAGGGTCCTGCCAAGTGTTTGCAGTAGGGGGCGATGTTGCTACACCTAATCGGACGGACGGACGATATAATCTATTGTAGGCTGGTTCACTTCGTTCCTACCAGTATAATACTAAAATATATAAATAAAAACACGACAAATTAAGCTACAACATAATTTCAGTTATAAGCCACTGTACAGTTTACTTATAAACGTAAAAAAACACTTAGTATTAATTGTATATTAAACACCACCATTTCAGTAACTGTGGTCTTGTTAGCAATATGCAAGAGTTTGTTATTCACCTTTTGTTCTGGGTACAGTGTGGATCTGTAATTTAATGCATCCTTTGAGAAAGCGCATGGGCTTTCAGCCAATACAAAGAATACCAACCGGCATATTATTACTCTATGGTGTGGGTGGTGAAATGTTAACTATATCGCCTGGTACACAGGGGGTCGATACCGACACTGACGCCTGGATATTGGAGTTTGCGTGTTCTTCCCGTGGTCAAGTGAATTTTTCTCCGGGTCCTGTTTTTCCCTCCACATTTATAATCCACATCATGTGTTTAGGGTATTTGGCTGTAATACATTTCCACTTGATAATCCACTTTGTTGGGCTATCGTTTGTGGCGAGGTCGCTTCTGCAAAAGCGCTACATAGCTCAGTGGGCCTTACCTCGTAAACTAAAATATAGTTTAAACTGTATAGATGCACATTTAAAATGCTCAAGTCATGCTAAAATGATGTAGGAGTTGACAGGATACGGCTTCAATCACTTACGTCACGTCTGGTATCTGAAGACGTTAACATTGCTTTAATGAATATAAATAAACAGCACAACCTTAACAAAAACACTGGCTCACAGATTTCACTTAAATTAGGGTAGGTGTCTTAACCCGTCTCATATTTCATTACGGAGAGAAGACAAACATTTGATTTTGCGTAAAAAATATACAAGATGTAAAAACAGTTTGCATACACACAATCTGAACCGTGCCGTGCCTACCCTGAATTTATGCAACTTGAGTGGATAACATCTGCCACATCCTATAAAAGGGTAAATGTGCCACATCATTAATTCACAACATTCATTTGTACCAATCCTTACAAAAACACACTTACCACCTTGCTTTACACAAAGGCTGTTCGTCATACTTTAAATCATTTTTACAAGCCTCAATTTTACAACGAGAGGTCAAGTTACACGCGGAATGTAATAAAATGAACCATTTACAATTGAGCAACTTGGGTTACGCTGTGTCCAGGGCCGCACTCAAATTTTGTTCAGAGAACACTTTCAGGCTGGCTCAGGGAGGAGAAATTACCGGCGTACGGCACTACCACAACAGTACAAGGTTTGCTTTTCGGTAATAATCCTAGATTACTGTTCCCTTTTTTTCCTATTCTCCCTTAAACAACTTTCTAAAAATTAGGACAAAATAATTTCCGGAACAGTGTTACAAACAAATCTGGCTACAATCAGTCACAGGCTGTGTCCATTTCTGAGCCTCTTGAACATACATCAACAATGCAGTGTATATTTGTCAACAGCTTCAGGAATTGACTCTCCTCCCCAAGCGTTACGGTTGATCTGTAGGAGGAAGTGAGAAAACAACACATCAGCAAGAAGCACCACAATGTGCGTTTGAACTCAATTTAAACTTCGTTCACAGTTCAGCAGCGTGCTCTTTTAGGGAAACCTAATCACGACAACATGCTTAAGTGGTCAGTGCCATTGTCAACGATGTAAAAAATACGGATGTTCCTTACAACACGAGTCAAGCACGGTAGGCATCATTTTAAGATAGTTTACAGTATAAGATTCGTGTAGTTCAAATCATATTATTCCTAATGACGTGAATGTATGTATGTTGAACTGCTTTCGCACCATACGTAGTCAACTGTGCTAATCGGAGGTGCGAAAAAAGTTGATGCGTTTATGTGGATGAGTCTCATTACATCTTAGGTGTTTAGACTGTCGTCCTTCCTCCGTACCTCCGATTACCATGGTTGGCTACGTACAGTGCAAAAGAAGTTCGACATACATACATGCCATATTATGCATCATAACAGAAAAAGTGGGGACTCTGGCTTGTTATGACACCAAGGTATTGAAAATGATTTTTTTTATTCCTCCATCCCGCATTGACCAGCATGGTGAAGTATGATCAAACAATCCCCATGATTCACTTTTGATAATTAATTTTTCCCTATAAAATGTCATTTTTTAAAGGGACCGAAAATACGACAGGCGGCAATTGTCAGGTGTTGGGTTGCTGGATGAACGTGGGGAGCACACCATTTTGCCCAATCTTTGTGGTAAAATATTCTGTCCTTGGGCTCGGGTGAGGTATGATGTTTTCACAGTGGTTTCTTGACCAGACGGGGTTAACACACCGAAGGGAACCAACAACAACAGATAACAGTCTTGGCCGCACGGCATCCAGCTACAAGCTTATTTGTTTGCTACCTTGAGTGTGCACTGCTCCAATGTGCTCTCCTGTCTGTCCACAAGTCTGCTGCTGCTGCTGCAATTGCTGCTGCTGTAGTTGCCTTGCACGCAGCTCGGCCAGCTTTATCTGCTCCAAGTGAAAGGTGCTGCGATCCGAGAGAAGCTGTTGCCGTTGATATTCCAGCTTCACTCACAAAAAAGCAGGTACATGGGGGTGCACGCAAGCGCGGGGAGCTTTAATTTAAACACACACCATACAGGAATGCAATATCCTGCAGTTTTATGTGTACAGGTGGTCTCCAATTTACGACAGTCCGATTTACAACGTTTACACAATGCCACCATGGATCGGTTTGTGACGCAGAAACTGGATTCACGACGCACTTTCTGACACTATTCAGAACGGATTTGAACAGTCAGTCCAGTTTCCGATGTGACTTGGCGTGGAGCTTTGTTATTATCTAAGTGTTTTGTGTGGACTTGTACCTATTAAATAAACCCTCTTAAATATGGCTGATAAAACGAAAAAACACATCGGCAAGTGATGTTTCTACTGCTTCTACTGTCTATGGGGAAAATAGGGGCCGATTTATGACTGGCTTTCTAGGAACGTGCTGTGACATCCTTAAAGCCCGGACCGCCTGTATATGTTTGCTACATTTCACATACAATGTCAAAATTAGTTTCAAAACTACTTTATATGTTCCCAAATTGTAAAGCAAGCCTTCCTCCCCTCTTAATATACGCCCAATCTACATCTTTTGCCTTCTAGCAATTATCAATAACCTTTCATCCTGAACCAGTTCTCGTACCAACTGATCACTCTTTCCGTCAAACTGATTTTCTAAGGTTTTCTCTACGAGACGCTGATCTATTTACTATACTTGTGATACCCCAATTTACGTCTCCCCCTTTGATGTCGTTTCGTAAATACAGCATCGCTTTATTAACACCGCGACCTGATTTGCGTCGCCTCAACACACATTAACATCGCTGACAGCTTCTTGACAAAGGAATTTGCATATCAAAAGGAATTTAGCATATTTATGGGAAATGCAGGAATGTGATTAGTACTACATATGTAGTACTAATCACATATGTAGTACTAATCACATTCCTGCATTTCCCATAAATTTCCCATAAATATGCTAAATTCCTTTTGATATGCAAATTCCTTTGTCAATGCGCCCAGCTTATATATATGCTCCAAGCTCGTGTGTTGTTTCATTCAGACTCTGTCGCCTCGACGGACCTGGTTTTCACCTGAGGACGGCTGCTTGCGTTGTGGCCGAAACGTCGTGAGAATTGTTTTATTATGTTTTATTTTTATTATTTTATTACTTCCCTTCTACGTGACTTTACCGAAAGAACCAAGAAGATGAATCCCTGCAGTCACGAAAGCTTTAAATCGAAATCGCTGACAGCATCGTCATCTGTCCTTTCTCGTTATTCGCTGCCTCTCAGCCTTCACCTGCACCCACTACCCTGCACACAAACTACTTTGCGTCGCGCATACAGAAATGCACTATCGAGTACAATATATTATTAATGTCTGGCATTTTGATGTTTTTTTTATTGTACTGTATCTGTATCATTTGTGCTAAAGTCTACCGCTGTACACTAGTGTTGAGTATAGTTTGTTTACTAAGTTAATGTAACGTTGTGGGTACGACTAGGATGAAGATGCGTGCATTAACAGACAGCATCACCGTACCCTCCGTTTTATTGCTTAGCTCTCGTGGCATGCAGGCTACGTCTCCCGATATATCGCTTTCATTGACGTAGTTTCGATATTCGTCGTTGCACCTTTCAGGAAAGCATCAAACCCCCCCCCCCCCTCCGACGAAAACTGGGGGGGGGGGGGGTGTATCACTGCGACCGTTTTCACCTGCCAGGAGACAATGAGAAGTGACTCACCGACTCCCGCTCACGGTCCATGATGGTCTCCAGCTCCTCAAAATGTCTCAGCTTGATCTCGAGCTTCTTCATTTGGGTCTCCACCAACAGCGCCACCAGTGACTTGATTTTGCGTTCCTCCACAGCTGCCAGTTGCTTTAAGCGGAAAAACAAGGATACCAAAAATATAAATATTGAAGTGAGCAATACATAGGAGCCAAAAAAAAATACAAATAGCACGGCATCATACAGATAAACGCTAATATAAGCGAAACAACGCGACACGTTGTTTGAAGACCGAAACAAGAGGAGGATTTCTCCAAAATTCTGTCTGTTGCCTCATAATTACCGGCAAAACGTCACGATACTCGAAATATAAATGTTGTGGGTTTACTCTCCAACATACCAGTGTGCTGAACTAGTAACGAATTTCCACGTTTTGTTTACGTGACAGCCTCAATAATTGGGCTGTGCTGGGTGGTGGCAAGTTTAACGACACATTTATATTTAGGCGATCTGACCCCAAAAAAAACTTATTTTATGAACGTTAAATGGGCCACCGTTAAACGATGATGACTGCCGATATAGTCACCTCCTCCAGTGGAGGTTTGGGCCACATTGTTCACCAATAGACTTTTCAGGACTCCCCGTGAATGTCAGGCAAGGATGGGCTGGGCTGAGACAGACCAAGTTGTCAGTCAGTGTGGCTCAAACTCTGGTGCTGTTTTTTTGACGCCATGGTTGAATCCCATGATTTATTTTTCTCCCTCAATACTCTTATCCTCATGGGGTAGAACGAGAACGTAGTGGGTTGGCCGTTTAATGCTCGATGCAAATAAGTCAAATACAATGTCTGCCTGGCCACAGTTGGACGGACCCAACTGTAGTGGGTGAAGATGAGGCTTCCCGTCCGATTCAGTTTGTTGTCCGTTCAACGCACCTCCGATTAGCACGGTTGGTTATGTGTGGTGCGATAAAGAAGTTGAACAGACATATATACATACTTTTGCTGCTCACTCGTAATAGCAGAAATCGGCATCGCCGCCTTGGAGAAACGTGGATCACGTTCTTGCCAAGATGCAGCCTCTCTCTCTCCGCTGTGGTTCCACCCACAGGGTTTTTTTTTTATTGCCACGCGTAAAACGACCCGGGGAGAGACAGTGGAGTTGAACAGTGCGGCAAGTGCAATACCTTGGCCTTGGCAGCAGCTGCAATGAGAGCAGCAGCAGCAGCCGTTGCAGTGATGCTGGCATCTGGCAAGGACGACAAGCCTAGGGCTTCCGCAGGAGTCTCCGCCTTGCTTCTGCTGGACATATTTTCCTGCTCCTCACCTGATCAGAGTAACAGACAGCGCGTGGCTGGAGTTATTAGAGAGCATACATAGGACACAAAACATTCGTCAATGACAAAGACCAGTTGTGGTCGCAGGTGCACAACTGCTTGCAGTGTTGGCAGGGTAGGGGGCACAGGTGGTGCGCATCTGCCAGTCAGTCGGTCAACCTATGGCACCTGCTGGGTCTGTCCCATGACCTGTCAGCAGTGAGCCTTCGACACTTCACGTGGCCTGGCATAGGCGCCATGGTGACATCACCGTCACTGAGTGGCGAATGGCGGGTATTGGTATGGGCAGTGCGGGATTAACCAAGGAAACAGTAACTGTCCGAACCTTAACAGCTGTGCATTTTCAAATTGGCCGGGAGGGGGTATAACAAGCAAGACAGCATCTGATAAAAAATAATTGTGTCCTGAATTTATAAATGTTGCCATGAAAATGTTGTGCATGAATAATTGAGTTCAAAATTGTGACCTACAAAGGAGTAAAACATTCCATTAACTCAAATTACGAGGCAAACCAAAACTGGCAAACAATGCACTTTGGCAGCAATGCATAAACGCCCTTCATAAATCATGGCTAGGCTATCCCACAAACAGTAATAATGACACAGCAGATGTTCCTAAATGTGCATATCGACACTACGCCCGATTAAGATGGTTGGCTACATACCTAACAACCCTGCGCCACATTCTCTCACGTAAAGTTAAAAATACTGTTCAAATTGTGTGGGACATCAGTGTTCATACCCATTGTAAAAAATATTCCCTGCGTCATGCATGTGTGCCTGAACATCATGGGCCTCATATCCACAAAAATGGCATTAACCAGTGCAGCAAAGTTTTAACTTTGATTTCCGACCCATTCAGTAAATATGGAATCTTGGTGCAACTGTTATTGCTGTTGCTGGCACCACGTAAATAATGGAAGCGTGACACGAAATTAGGAAAGTTGGATGGCCAAAGACCTTATTGAAGTGACTCCGTGAGCACGTTTAAACTTCACTTCAACAGCACTCACTGCTCCCACTGTAAACATACGACAGTAACACCCCCGTTTACGTCGGGGGATGCGTTCCTCAAAGGTGCGACGGCGAATATCGAAACGATGTAATCAAAGTATTGTTTTCACACGAGCAAAATTTTTTTTTTTTTACCAGGTAAGACCCACTGAGCTATGTAGCTTTTTTTCAGAAGCGACCTGGCCAGAAATGATAGCTCAATGAAGTGGCTTATCAGCCAAATACTTTAAACGCATGTTTCTAAATGTGGAGGGAAAAACTGGTGGACCCGGAGGAAAATTCACACAACCACAGGGAGAGAAACATACAAACTCTAAATATACAGGTGTCGGTATCGAACCCATGACCTCATATATACCAGGCGAGGTAGTTAAGACAACAGAGGCAAAGTGAAGCTGTGTTAATGTGTGCATCTTCATCCTAGACATACCCACAACATTACATTAAATTACTAAAAATATTGTACTCAAGACTAGTGTACAACAGTAAACTTTAACATAAATTATACAGAAAGAGTGCACTATAAAAACGTCATATATTGTACGTGAATAATATATTGTATTCGACTGTACATTTCTTTACGCCCGACATAAAGTAGTTTGTGTGCAGGGTAGGTGGAGGCGGATGCCGAGAGGCGACGGAAAACGAGTAAGGACGGCCGACGATGCTGTCAGCGATGTTAAGAGTGTGTTTGGATTGAGGCGAGACAAAGCGGGTAGCCGTGTTAATAAAGCGACGATGTATTTGCGAAATGACATAAAAGGGAGAGACGTATCATGGGGTTTTACCGTATCTAAAACCGATGACAGCAAACAACTCAACAGAAAGCTCATCTTAGAATGCATGCGGCTCGTGCGTTCACAGCCACACCCTGGATGTCAGCATCTTTATCAGAATATTTATTTAGAATGGAGGAGGAATCTTATGAGCTATGAAGCTCTTTTTTCAGATGTCCAGGAAGGGCACGGGGTCATAAATTTACAACAACAAACAATACAAAAAACAATAGGAGTGCAAAGTATAGGAAAGCTAAGCCATGTGTTTTTTTTTTCAAGGTAAATGAGGCCTGACTGTAACAACACCCAAATTAATTGAACAAGAGTACAAAAAGAAAATGTAGGTTGTACATTGGATAGAATACTGGATTATTTGAGTGACTTGAGATTACGATCACGCGGTTGAGTTGATTAAATGTCATCCCAACCTTGCTCCTCCCTCGTCTCCTCCCTGTTGCCAGCCTCCACCTTGAGCACACCAAATTCAGTCGTCGCTCCTTCCTATCGAGGCAAAACGATTGCTCGTTACGACCAACAAACCAGACCTCCACATCTTAAGGGAGTAAATCAGAAGAGAACAAAGCAATGCAGCAGATTTGGACGGACTGGTCCTGGAAAGGTAATGCTTTGATGAAAAATTATAGGTTTTACCCTTTCTGGCAATAAAACAGGAGGTATCTACACTATGGGAACCTCATTTGCCAGTAAAAATATGATAATTGGTTTTTTACCCTTCTATCTGGCAACAAAACTGACACCTTTTTACAAGGAGTCATGTTTGCATAGACCGCAATACCTGCAGTCATAATACAAACAAAAAACATAACTCTGATGTGCACTGTCCTTGAAGTTGATTGGTCCACACCCGAGACAGCTTTCCTTAGAGCCTAGTCTCACATGGGTTGGACCAGATGACGCCAAAAGGCGCACAACTCAAAGACAATGCACCATCAGAGTATGAGAGTTCGGGGCAAGCATCTACACTATGGGAACTCCTTGTAAAAAGGTGTCAGTTTTGTTGCCAGATAGAAGGGTAAAAAACCAATTATCATATTTTTACTGGCAAATGAGGTTCCCATAGTGTAGATGCTTGCCCCGAGCTCTCATACTCTGATGGTGCATTGTCTTTGAGTTGTGCGCCTTTTGGCGTCATCTGGTCCAACCCGGTCTATGCAAACATGACTCCTTGTAAAAAGGTGTCAGTTTTGTTGCCAGATTAAAGCGTAAAAAACCAATTATCAAAACAGGAGGTGTTAAGATGTTCAAACACCAAATAGACACCTATTGCAAGGCATCAAGTCTGCATTCAGCACACACACTTGTGGCAAAACATGCACACAAACATGTTCTGATAATATATGCATTGTCTTTGAAACTGATTGGCTTAAACCAGACAGCAGCCTTCTTTATGGCCTAGGCTCAATACCAGTGTTAGACGAGAGAAGGCCAAGAGGCAAACAGTACAAATACAACGCAACACCTGTTTTATGGACAGAAAGGGTAAAACCTATTCTTATTTTTTCATCATTTTTTATACTGGCAAAAAGGTCCCATAGATAAGAAATGCTTTGTAAGCAACTCCCCCCCCCCCCCATGATGTACCAGGCTGAACATACAAGTCATAATTGGCTATGATGTTCCTATCCTACCACCTTCCGATGTGAGTTGTGCTTTACGGCCATTTCAAACTTGCGCTTTCACAGGGTTCACACTAACACAGTCACTTCGCACGCCGACCCCTCGGTTGCGGCTCCGCGATCAACTAATTAACAAGCTAATCTCTCATTAACATGCTAATTTTCACCTGGCAGCCCTTTGATTGGTGGAAAACCAACCACCGTCGGGTTGGCTGCCCACCACTTACATTAACATTGGCTGCTGACATGTGGGATACGCCCATTTCAAACCCTTATAAACAGTTTGCCTTGGAAGCTAACCCCCGTTTTCCTGAAGACGACTGCTTCTGTTGCGATCGAAACGTTGTAGTTTTTAGTTCTTTTTTATTTTCTTTGAACCTATCTACGTGATTTTACCGTAAGATCCAATAATATGAATTCCTGCAGTCACGAAAGCTTTAAGTCAATACAAGCACCTGTTCCTTATGATTTATGAAGGAGATTCTCAGGACAAGTCAGATCCGGTGTGAGATTCCTTCACGTTTAATGCGGAGTTCTGAGGGATTATTTCCATTCAGGGAGATGTTTATTGAAATGGATGACAGCATAATGGATATTTAGAGATTTGTTGCACATGAACCCATTCCGATGACGTACGTGTAGGTCAACGGTTTTTCTGACGATTCCATTCTGATTATATAATCGGAAATGGAATCGAAAGAAGGCCACGCGAGAGGGCGTGGCACAGTTTGGCTCCAGCTATCGTAGAGTGTGGTGGTCGTGTCACGAGGGTTCTCCCTGGTGAGTAATAACGTATTTACAAAACAACGGTGCTACCACGCCTCTAAATAAAATTAATGCTAAATACGTTCGCACGTTCCAAGATTCAGCGGTGAACGGGACACCCACCCACCCTCCAACTTGCAGTACGTCTTGGAACGGGAAAGGGTTAATGATAAATTTGCAGACTAAGCGCCACGAATTAATAAGCTACTTCAGATACAAAAGCTAATTTTTTTATTTACATCACTGCTGTGCTTAGATTTCATCTATTAATTCACGGTAGCCTTACCTTGCTCTTTTCATCCTCATTATTGCCAATGCCGAGCTTGGAATCGTCAGTACCTTCAAATGCAACAACAGTCAATTGAAAATGTGTAGTTGAAAACCTACCAAAGATAAAGTGTCTAGATCATGGCAAAACATAAGCAAACAAAATGGTCCAAAATCTAAGACACTGCAAACAGCAAGCATTCAACACACATAGGAGTTTCAAATACAGATTAACTATTTGAAATCCATAAAAATACATATGAATGTTGAACTTATTTTGCATCGTATGCAGCCAACCATGCTAATCGGAGGTGCGGTGTAAGTATGTGTAGTGAGTCCAACTTAGTCGCAGACGTTGTCTTGGGGGCAACACGTTTTATTAAACTCTTAGCACAACATACTCCAAGCTATTAACACAACACACTCTCGGGTGGTAACCACCCAACTAACCACGCTACGGCAGTACTAGACACCGTTCCATGATCCTGGTCCGGACCACAAGCTGGGTCCCGGACCGCGTGGCTGGAGGTTTCTTCAAGCTTGACGTGGATCTCCTGCCTCTCCAAAAGTAAGAACCCCGAGCCCCTCTCAGGGCCCCCCTTATACCGGGCCGGGCTGGGGCTGGTTCCGCCTCTCGCCCCGCCCACCTTCTCGATCTCTCTCGTCTTTGCCCAAAGTCTCTCGAGAGTTCTTCCCAGACCACGTGACCACCCATTGGCCCCCTCCACCGGTGGCCCCACTCCAGTATCATCCAGTCACATGTCTCCAGGTCAGCCAGAGTATCATGCCCCCAACGTAACCCTAGCTGGCTGAAATAAGTTCAACATACATATATAGATACACCGCACCTCCGTTTAGCATGATTGGCTATATACAGTGCGAAAGAAGTTAAACATACACACACACGAATGAAGGCCGTACAGGTCGTGGGGAGTTGTTTGACCATATTTCGCCATGCTGGTCATTGCAGGCCAGTTCCAATACCACTCACCACCGGTTGCAGCCATGGCCGGGGTATGAACTCCGGCCACCGTGTTCGTCACACGGCACAGTTACCGTCATGCCACCAGTTTTCCCTTTTATGACGCAGGATGTAAATGTATTGCTTTGGTGACAAATTAAGTCAAATTGTAAATAACAATGGCTTTATTGTTCAGAAAGGGCAGGAGGACGAGCAACTTTTTGGAAAAATACTTCTGCATTGAAGTGAAATAATACAATTATTGTTACCCACATCTATAATAAAGGTTTTTTTGGGTTATGTTGCTTAAATATAAATGTGTCATTAACCTGCCACCACCCAACATACCCATTTAGTAAGCTTTATCACGTAAACAAAACGTGCCAATTAGTTAATGCTTCAGCACACCGGTGTTGAGAGTAAACCCACAACATATAAATTATTTCAGGTTTCCCAGTGTTTTCATGGGGTAATACGCTTTTTCTTTAAACACATTACTCCACTCTTCCCTTCCACTCACAGCAGAAGAGACGCGTCTTGTATATGTATACTATGATGATCTTACTGGTTTTGTGCTGCTGCTGCTCCTGTTTGAGTATGATCTCCTCTTTCTTATCATCCACTCTTGCAAGATCAGGAGGTAGCAGGACTCTTCTGTGCGAGAACTCCTCTAAGCACACACGCACACACAAACAAACAAGAAGTCTATATTTTAGCCTGGTCAGAGTGCAGTGATAATGAGCACCGATCAATGCCTAATGCGTTCATGGAAGAACATCACTCCGTCGTTCTTAATCACTGTCATTGCCTTTATGACCAGGTGAGATGAAACGTCTCATTTTGAGGGGAGGCCTGGGGTAAAATTAACATTACAAAAAGACAAAGATCCCATGTATAGCCTTAAAAGACTGTTTGGGGCAAGTGCTGTTAGTGACCACCTATGAAGGCCAGCAAGGCACATGAGGGGGTGAGTGGCTAACACCACGCCCGGCCGCCTTTGTCTTCCCAGTGACGATGTTTACACATCTCACTAGGTACTCATTTGAGCCTGAGTCGACCTAGGGGAGGCCCAGGACCGGTTAATTTAATTGTCACTGGTGTTGGCCGTGAGCGGGAATCGAACTCGGGTCGCCGAGTTGGTAGCGCAGCGTAGCGCTAACCGCTGCACCACCGCTCCCCACACGCGGGAGGGTGGGTGGCAAAATTTAGCGCCAGCTATCAGAGTGCGGTCGTGTCGCTACAGTTTTATTCGTTGAGTACATATATGTCATACCATACACATATAGAAATATACATTGATTAAATATTAATTACATTTCCATAGTCCATAGGCCTTTGTGTCTCGAGAGACAATTCTTTTGCGCCTTACGAGGTCAGCTGTAGGTTTTGCAGCGCCTAGAATAACTTAGTAGGCCAATCCTTGAGTGGCAATCCTTGCCACAGCACTTGCAAGTGAATGCGGTGGCAGCTCCAGAGGCAAGTGAATGCGTGGCAGCTCCAGAGGTGTTTGTTGCTTTTTCTTTACGTCGCTCCCTCTTGGTCTGCCAAGCAGTGTGTCTTTTCCCCTCGCCTCTCCTTAGGCCTGTTTTCACAGCCTGCTGCCAGTTGAGTCGGTCACCGGCAGTTTTCTCCCAGTCATTTGGGTTGATGTCGCAGCTCCTCATGTCCCGTTTACAGACATCTTTAAAGCGCAGGACCGGGCGACCAGTGACCCGTGTGCCTGATGCCAGCTCGCCGTACAAGACATCCTTGGGTATTCTGCCATCCTGCATGCGGCGCACGTGTCCAAGCCATCTCAGGCGCCTATGACTGAGTAGAGAGTAAATGCTGGGAATGTTGGCCAGGTTGAGGACTGAGGTGTTGGGAACGCGATCTTGCCATCTGATACCGAAGATGCGCCTGAGACATCGGAGGTGGAATGTGTTTAGTCGATGTTCTTGATGGGCGTATGTTGTCCAGGACTCAGACCCATAGAGGAGGGTGCTAAGGACGCAGGCACTTTGGTGTTGAGTGTTAGGGATTTGTTACACTCTTTTGGTCAACCTGAACATTGCTGTGGACGCCTTCCCAATGTGCTTGTCAATCTCTGTGACAAGGGACAAATTGCAGGTGATGGTGGAACCTAAGTAGGTAAAGTTCTGAACGACTTCCAGGGTGTAGCTGCCAATGTGTATGGAAGGGGTGTCTCTGACATCCTGGCCCATGACATTGGTCTTTTTCAGACTGATTGTCAGGCCAAAGTTGTTGCAGGCATTGGCAAGGTGGTCGATGAGTGTCTGCAGACCTTGTTCTGTGAGCTGTCAGCGCGGCATCATCAGCAAATAAAAGTTCTCTGATGAGGACTTTGTGGTTGGTTTTGGATCTGAGACGGCCAAGATTGAAGAGTTTGCCATCAGATCTTGTATGGAGAAAGACTCCCTCTTCTGCTGTCCCAAAGGCATGTGTGAGCATAAGTGAGAAAAAGATGGCAAACAGTGTTGGGGCAAGCACGCACCCCTGCTTTACACCGCTGTGTATGGGAAATGCCTCTGAGGTGGTGCAGCTGTGCTGTATTGTTCCTTTCATGTTGTCATGGAAAGAGGAGATGACTGCCAGCAGCTTCGGTGGGCAGCCGATCACTTTGATGAGTTTGTAGAGGCCTCCTCTACTGATGAGGTCAAAGGCTTTTTAAGATCAATGAATGCCAAGTACAGGGGCATTCTCTGTTCTCGGCATTTCTCCTGTAGCTGACGCAAGGAGAAGAGCATGTCAATTGTGGACCTTCCTGCTCTGAAGTCACACTGAGCCTCAGGATACGCCCTCTCAGCTAGTATCTGTAACCTGCTGAGGACCACACGGGCAAAGGTTTTCCCCACGATGCTCAGCAGGGAGATGCCACGGTAGTTATTACAGTTCCCACGGTCACCCTTGTTTTTATATAGGGTGATGATGTTGGAGTCTCTAATGTCTTGAGGCATTGCTCCTTCTTCCCAGCACTGGCAGATAAGTTCATGGAGTTTTGTGAGGACGGCGGGTTTCGCACATTTCAGTACCTCAGGTGTGATGCCGTCCTGTCCCGGGGACTTGTCGCTGGCTAGTGAGTCGATAGCGTTGTCCAGTTCCTTCAAGGTTGGAACATTGTCCAGTTCGTGTATCGTTGGTAAGAGCTTTACAGCAGCAAGGGCAGCTTTTGACACACCGTTGTCTCGTGAGTAGAGCTCTGAGTAGTGTTCTACCCACCTGGCCAATTGCTCTTGTTTATCAGTGATGATGGCCCCTGTGCTGGATTTAAGGGGGGCAGTCTCCCTGATGTTTGGACCAAAGGCTGTCTTGATGCCTTCATACATGGCACGGATATTGCCAGTGTCAGAGGCGAGTTGGATCCTACTGCTGAGGTTCACCCAGTAGTTGTTGGCGCAGCATCTGGCGGTCGTTTGAGCTGCACTGCGGGCAGCTTTCAGAGCCTTTAATGATCCTGTACTTGGGACCTGCTTGTACTTCAGGAGCGCCTCAAACCAGTCTGTGTTCCGCCTTGTCTGCTTACCGAAGGTATTGATGGCTGCATTGAAGATGGCGTCTCTGATGTATGTCCACTTTGTCTCCACGCTTCCATCTGGTGTGTCATGTAGGGACTGATCAAGGCTGTGTTGGAATAATTGAGTGAGCTCTGGGAGGGAGGTCTTGGCAGAGTTGATGCGTAGGTAGCGCTTTCGTTTGAGGCGATGTATCTTTTTTGGGCATACTCTGACCTTGCTGGATACCAGCGAGTGATCGGTGTCACAGACTGCACTGTGGTAGCTGCGTGTGATGAGTACTGAGTTGAGGAGGGCTCATCGGGTGATGACGAGGTCCAGTTGGTGCCAATTAAGAGACCTTGGATGTCTCCATGATACTTTATGACATGGTTTAGGTGAGAAAGAATCAGAGATTGTGGTATGAACAAAGCTCCAGTAGTCTTTGGCCACTGGCATTCATCTTTCCAATGCCGTGATAGCCAAGGCATGCGGGCCACGTGTTGTGGTCAGCCCCAACCCTTGCATTGAAGTCTCCCAACAGAAACACGTGCTCAGAGCTGGGGATTTTGCTAATAATATTGTGAAGTTCTTCATAGAACTGGTCATGAATCTCCGGAGGTGAGTAGAGTGTTGGGGCGTAGACACTCAGGATGTTTTCATGGCCAGAAGCAGTGAGGCTCCAAGCGGATTCTGCTCATGAGAATGAGCAGAATCCGCTTGGAGCCTGAAGTCGGTGGTTCTATCATGCCAAGGAGTGTGTTTTTGACGGCGAACCCAACACACATGTGCCATTATGTGCGAGACACTCACCCAGGGCAGCCTTGGCCGCTGCGGAGGCCACGCGTGGGTCTACAACGGAAGCCAGAAACGCCACCGTGCTCATGATAGGATTCCCTGAGCGGCTGAATGGAACCGGCTGATAGGCCAGCGGACCCATGGATGCTTCGGACTCCTGTTGGAATGGAGGCATCATCATCACCACCACCACCTGAACAACAACACTAACGTGGCAGCTGTTCAACGGAAAAGCATCGCTCAATATTGCTTCGGTAAACTTAAGTGTACACTGTGGTGGTGAGTTATTTATGCAGCAGTCCTTTTCCCCAACCTTACTTCACTGTAGTATGTACACATGTATGTATGTTGAACTTCTTTCGATCCATACATAGCCAACCGTGCTAATTGGAGGTGCGGGAGAATGACAATAAACTCTACACAAAAAACAATTCTAAAGAAATTAGTTTTCAATCTAGATGATGTAAAAGTGCATAGCTCCAGTGGCTTCCTAATATGGGAAGAAAGAGCCTTCCAGACTGCTGCAAAAGCGCATCTGAAAGCGCACAATGTGGTGACTGTCTTTGTCTGATGGCTCGTCAAAAGTAGCTGTGCGGATGATCAAAGTTTGCGTGATGTCAAACAACCAGAATGACTGACACTGCGTGGGCAGACCTTCAGTGGATTGACAAGCGGCTGTATATTAATCATTATTGTTAACGTGTTCGACAATCCTTCTTCAGAGTAGAGGACTGAAAGACTGACTTGTACAACTGACAGACTTAGCCCAACTGACGTGCTTTCAAAATGTTACATGAAGACTACAGAACTGCTCACGGGCAATGGGATGACTGCACGCCCTGGGAGTAGAGGAATGACGTTTTTTTAGTTTTTTTTACATCCTGGAAAACTTTCACTCAGCTCAAACCGTGTGTATGTTTTGACCACTCATATTTTTTGAGACACCTCAATGTAAAAAAATTAAGTGATCTCCAATTCTAAGTTTATTAATCTTTCTGCTCTCTCAACTCTGACACATTCACCATTTATAATCAAAGTGCATTTAAGAGTATTTGGCTGCTATAAACTTCCACATAAGCTACTTCATTGAGCTATCATTTGTGGCCAGGTTGCTTCTGAAAAAGAGCTTTTTAGCTCAGTGGGCCTGACCTGGTAAAATAAAAAATTGTTTAGTTTAGTAATACAGAATGTGATTTTTTTCCATCATGAGACTGTGAATTAGTTTTTATTTTATATCATCTAAGATACTCTAGTTCTTTCGGTAAAGTCACGTAGGTAGAAAAATAAAAAAATTAAAATGTATACCTATGTGACTTTACCGAAAGAACCAAAGAGGATGGATTCCTGCAGTCACGAAAGCTTCAAATCAAGATCATCTAAGATGTCAACCCTATATCTGAATAACATAATCTTGTGTGATTGCTGGACCAAGTTCTTTGACAAGAGCATTGGGCCCGGAGCCGCTCATCTGCACGACGAATAAAAACGTTGCCACCCAGCAGAGTTGGTGAAGCTCTCAAGGGGGCATGCAGGGGACTTGCCTCCAGGTAGGGGTCTTCGATGGGTAGCCGCAGGAAGTGAAGGATGCACTCATCTTGAGTGCGGCTGCCCACGTGCTCCGACACTTTGTTCCAGTCATCCGTGTACAGGTCCAGTGCCTTGGTCCAAGAAAAGCATTCACTTAAATTTAAAGTACTTGCCACACAATGGGGATCGTGGTCTTACAATGTTGTAATACGATGACAATACAGTTTATATGTACACAGCGTACAAATGTGATAGCATATCAAGGAACTGTATAAAAATAGGGGGATTTTATGCATCAAGTGGACGGAGAGAAAAGTATGATTTTGGAAGGGGGGGAGATCCTGGCAAAGTTTGGAGATGATGGTATCGTGAGGTGTGACTGAAGACATTTTATAAACAAGACACAGTCACAGGTAGATGAGAAAAAAAAGTGTTGGGGCCTGGATATTGAACACATATCTAGGAGAGATTTCCAGGGTATTAAGGCCTCTGCAGAGAAATGACCTTCAACTGGGTGAAGGTTGTGTGGTGACTTTGATAGAAGGCCTTGGTGTTTGTAGCGGAGGGCAGATGACCGGGATGATCATGAGAGGGAAGGAAGAAGCAAGCAGATGTGAGTCCATTGAGGATCTTCAAAATACTGAGGATGGATTTTGGAGTTGATTTAGAAATTGATTGGAAAGCCATGAGAGGGTTTCCATGATTTAGGTAACTGGGTCTTGTTTAGGAGTGGGGGTGAGAGGTCTGGCAGTGGCACTGCGGATCAGTTGGAGATGAGGGACTTGGGGAGGCCAGAGGAGAGTTACAACAGTCGATTCAATACGTAATGAACACATGAATAAAGCTAGATGAAGAAGTTGCTACATCACATTGATAATCATATTCAATCTTGATTTCAAGCTTTCATGACTGCAGGAATCCATACTCTTTGGTTCTTTCGGTAAAGTCACGTAGGTATAAAATAAAATAAATCATGAAGTTTCGGGCGCAACACAAGCGTCCGTCATCAGGTGGGAAAGCGTGGCCTACTGCTGCTGAGGCAGACTGTTTTAAAGGGTTTGAAATGGGTGTAGCCCAGGGGTCATAAAGAAGTGGGCGGGGCTAGTGATGTTAACGTGATAAATTAGCATGTTAATGTAAGAACGGAGAGTCGCCTCCTGGACCAGGGCACAAAAGTGGCTATGTAAATGTGAGAGATTAGCATGTTAATGTAAGATCGAAGAGTGGTGCAATCCAAAGGCATGAGAGTGCAATCCAAAGGACATGTGAGCATGAGAGTGCAATCCAAAGGCATGAGAGTGAAATGCAAAGGACATCTGAGAGATATAAGAGAGAGACACACAGAGTCGGAAATAACAACTGACATAGTAAACTGAATCATATACAGTTTAACACGTAGACTTTCACGACCAATATCATCCATAATAGAGGTTTTTGGGTTAGATGGCGTAAATATATAAATGTGTCGTTAAAACCCGCCACCACCCGACACAGCCAACTAGTAAGGGTTCATATTTTTGGGTCTTTCGGTAAAGTCACATAGATAGGTTCAAAGAAAATAATAAAAAAATAACACAAAACTACGATGTTTCGATAGTAACACAAGCGGTTGTCTTCAGGAAAAGGGGGGTTTGCTTCCAAGGGAAACTGTTTATAAGGGTTTGAAATGGGCGTAGGCCAAATGTCAGCAGCCAATGATAATGTAAGTGTTCGGCAGCGAGCCCAGCAGTGGTTCGTTTTCCACCAATCAAAGGGCTGCCAGGTAAAAATTAGCATGTTAAAGAGAGATTAGCATTATGACTTAAGTCATTATGACTTAAGTCATTATGACTTAAGTCATTATGGAATGTATTACGCTGTGGTAACGACGTTCAAGATATGAATGCATGCGGGGTATATGGAGGTGCGGGGTATATGGAGGTGCGGGCTATCTGAAATTTTGATTTGAAGCTTTCGTGACTGCAGGAATCCATACGCTTTGGTTCTTTCGGTAAGTCACGTAGGTAGAAAAAAAAAATCACGTTTCGATAGCAACACAAGCCATCGTCTTCAGGTGAAAATCGCGACAGCCGTGAGCAGCACGACGTCTGGCAGCAGACATCAGTGCTGCTCGCAGCAGACATCGCGGCTGTCGCGATTTTCACCTGAAGACGATGGCTTGTGTTGCTATCGAAACGTTGTGATTTATTTTGTTTTATTTCTACCTACGTGACTTACCGAAAGAACCAAAGAGTATCTGAAATTAGTTTTTACACAAAACGCTATTTTTGCAGGGTATATGTGTCTGCAGGTTAAATGCGTATGCGGGCTATATGCGGGAAAATACGGTAGTAGGTCGTCGACCGCTCAGAAACCGCTTTACAATGGGGGTGCATGTTCCGCGTAGTAACGGTACGTGTTCTGCAGAAAAAGCTAATCTCTGCACCGTTTCCTCAAAGAGCCGACGGGGTAGGGGCACCGCGGTGGGGAGATATTAACTACCTCGCCTGCTCCTTCGGTTTTTCCCTCCACATTTAGAATCAACATGCGTTTAGAATATTGGCTGTTATACATTTCCACGGGATAAGCCACTTTGTTGAGCTATCATTTGTGATAGCCAAGTTGCTTCTGAAAAAAATATATAGCTCATTGGGCCCTACCTGGTAAAATAAATAGTTTTTTTAGAGACCACTCGTGGGGATCAAGAAAATGTCGACCGAGCCAACCCAACCCCATTACAACCCAATCCCATCTCACCCCCCTTCCAACCCATTCCAACACAACTCAACCCATTCCAATCCATCCAATCTGAACCCAACCAAAACCCAACCCCATCCCAACCCAAACCGCCTTGCAGTTCACAAGCTTTGCGAGGTGACTGCTTGAACAGGCTCGGAAGCTGACAACAGAAAAGTGAGTCCCCGCCACAAGGTGACGCTACCTCGGGAAAGTCCTGACAGCTTACAGCCACCACCCCAGGGCCTGGAGAACTATCCAAATTGTCCGGTGCTCGAGCCAGTTTACAGCGTACTGCCGTTCCACAGTACTCATCTTTACGATGGACAGACAGAACTTGGTCTTTCTTGCCATACTGATCCTCTTGATTTGACAATGTCCAACTCCACGAATATTCTTCAACTGCACTACAGTGCAGGAGATGCCTTAGGACAAGGTTCCACATACACCCTCTCCAAAGGGATCTCCTCTCCCAGTGATCCGCGGTGTCTCAGAACTACGAGGTTCAGATTGAGGTGCAAATGCCCTGGTGGTCGCATGAGAGAAGCCTCTTCAAAGGCTGCCCCTTGGGGTTTCGTTGATTCGTCATTCATCGTCTCCACTGATGCCTCAAATCTTGAGCTTTGATCTGCAGCCCATGGTGATAATCGCCTGTGTGAGGTCACCTGTGGTTAATGACACGTATAATTGTGCACTCTGCTAATAGCAACGTGAAGCCAGGTGCATTTTTTTATTTTAAGTGAATATGCAATGGTGACCAGGGATAGGACCCCGAGCCCCACGTGCACTGTAGCGTATGGGGCCACACCTCCAATTTAGATTTGAGCGTACTCCGTACTGAGAGATTGAGCTGCGGTGTTGTGACATGGAGAGTGTGCATCTGGTCGCTATTGCAGATATGCAATTTCCCTTCAGAAGAACACTTTGCAAGAAAGTTTCGTCGTTTCACAAACCCCTTGGGCTCGGCTGTTGTGGAGTCACCCACTTCTCCGGGAGGATAGAACATCGTCGTCTCCAAACTTTATTATTTTTATTGTTGTCTATTTAGCCGGCCCGTCCCCCTCGTTAGGATCCATAGGAGGAGGGGGGACAGGGCAGACCAGCTGCAGTGGCAAGATGGAATTTTTAAACAGTCCATTTCTCTTTGCCTCATTTCTTCTCGTCAAGGCTCGGAGACTATGCCTTGCAAAAAAACTTGCAAGTCGCCAGCGGCCACCGCGTTGGAGAAGTCTAAATGTGCCTCCAAAATGGGACCACAAGCAGTGCGAACACTGACAAAGAACTTCCAGCCCGATATAAATACAACTACGAAATTAAAGCGCATTTCTAAAACGAATATCCTTTCGAGAAATGCAAACGATGATGTCCTGTCGCGGTGACGGCCGGTTCTGGTTCGCACGTGTGCACTGGCGGGGTTGGTCACGTGGTGTGCTTGCGCTAACATGTTCAAATTTAGAGTAAACTATAAAAACATCTAGATTTGTATGTTTTAATCATTTTCCTACAAAATGTACATACATGTTGGACTTCTTTTTCACCGTATGTAGCCAACCGTGTTAATCGGTGTGGGGGAAGGAAAACAAACTAAACATGAAAAGCAGATCTAAAGAAATGAAAAATGTTTAATCACTTAATTGTTTATTTGCTGTATGAGGACAAACTGGGGCGACCAGTGTGCTGAGTGGTCACTGGCGAATTGCTCAGTCACCCCTCTCCCAACGTTCGTAATTCATTAAACATTTATTGATTTTCGATGCGTCTAGTGACCAGGTCTAGCTTAGTGCAATGCGTTGCCATCTGCAGTAGGTCGCCATCAGTTTCGTAAGTAATAACATTCCTTGCACAACTTGTCAGAGATCAATGAGGTCATGTGTAACGTTTGCAAGGGGTGAGCTGGACACCCAAAGAGAATATTTTTTTGCTCAGTCAGTGTGGTTGCAGATACATTTATAATACGTGAGCTTTAGGCTAAGACACCGGAGCACACAATGTCACTGCATTTTTTTTTTCATCACTGCAGCAATGCGCACAATGGTTCACGAGGGCCTCACTGGAATGACAATGCAAGGCGTGCGTGTGGTGCTGGCTGGGTTGGGTGGGTGGGGGCTGCAGAGAATGAGGACTCTGGTTTATATTCACGCCTCTGGCTGGGGACTCGGCAGCTCAAGCGTGCGAGCGGCCAGACAGAGAGAAAAACCAAACTAGGTCACCATCACGTTTGTGAAAAAATCCGGCTTGTCTCGCAGGCCCTCGGGGTTATTAACTTGCACATGGATGCGATTGTTATTCAAACATAAGCGGCGTGCGTGATGGATTACTGCACTTATACAAATGAAGGGGGCATTTCCCTGACCTATATTTTAGATTTATGCACAAAGATAACATTGTAACCTGGATTTTTTAAGTCAGTATTTTTTTTTGTCGTTCAACCAAACTGCATATATTTTTTGACAGTAAATAATACATTAGTGCATTAAATATAAATTAACTTGCAGATGCAGACCTGGGCTCAATTATAATTGTAATTTCGGCTAACAATGCTGCCACTGTAATTATAATCGATCCTAGGTATGATTTTGCATGTAAAAGCAAATCAGCTTATAAATGTATTTATGTTCGCATGATAAAACTGTGCACGTAGAATCAGCTGCTTCGTAATAGGTGTGGGAGTGGCATAAGTGAACTGTTTGCAACATGCATGCTAAAGATCCAACGACATTTACTCAGTGGTAGGCCACTGTTATTTCTAATATCCTAATTTGAACTGTTTTTATTTCTATTTAGCTCTTTCAAAATAATACAGCAAAATGGTTATTTGTTTTTTTACCCTTCTATCTGGCAACAAAACTGACACCTTTTTACAAGGAGTCATGTTTGCATAGACCGCAATACCTGCAGTCATAATACAAACAAAAGACATAACTCTGATAATGTGCACTGTCCTTGAAGTTGATTGGTCCACACCCGAGACAACCCATGTGAGACTAGGCTCTAAGGAAAGCTGTCTCGGGTGTGGACCAATCAATTTCAAGGACAGTGCACATTATCAGAGTTATGTCTTTTATTTGTATTATGACTGCAGGTATTGCGGTCTATGCAAACATGACTCCTTGTAAAAAGGTGTCAGTTTTGTTGCCAGATAGAAGGGTAAAAAAACAATTATCATATTTTTACTGGCAAATGAGGTTCCCATGGAGCAAAATGGTTGTCACAACTTCCTGCTTGGCAAATGCTGTTTCAGAGAAACGCTTGTGCACACAAAAATACAACGATCCCCCACTGAGCCCGGATAATGGTGGTGGCTCGAGCTTTTATCAACCACCCGCCGTTGATGCCAACAAGACGCGGCACGGCCACCGATCGCCAAGCTGATTTTAACTACGTACGTGTGTGCGAATGTTGAGTTTATTTCACACCGTACGTAGCCAACCATGCTAATGGGAGGTGCAAAATACAATTTTGTACAAGGCACACATTTTCGGGCCGGGTAATGCTTTGATAAAACTAGACCAGGTTTAGATACAAATTGCCAATGAAAAGGAATTCAACTTAGGATTTTAGGATTGTTTCAGTCTGCTTAACGCACCACCACTCCATGTGCACAAAGGAGACAAAAACACACCACTTACCACTGCCCACATTGTGCACGCGACAGAACCTAATGTATAGTGTAGTACGAGATTTTTTTTACAACCCTTCGGCAAAGGTTTCCTATTAAAGTAGCCGCTGCAGCTGGGCCAAGCGTGTTAGCTTGGTTTGGAATGGAAACAGGAAAAAATAATGTATGCTATTTATTTTTAATACCCAACAAGCACGCAGCAGAGGTAGGCTTTGTCTACGTTGTCTAACTCACGCGGGACTGGTTGCAAGCTTTCATGCTTTTCTGTCACTTTATACGCAGTCAGCCACACCTCAATCCCTGGGAAACCACCAAAAAGGATAAATGTCACGATTCACCTCCCGCACCGTTTGATAAAATGCCACAATTTTCGTCACAAATAAATTAATGAGTAGATTATTTTACGTCGTGTTTTCACCGACTCATCTGTAGTGTCAGTTTTGTATGTGCTGTGTCATCTACTGTATCCCGCACCTCTGGTTGGATACGTACGGTGCGAAAGAAGGTCAACATAGGCACATACATCTCATATTCTCTCCTTTACACCATCTGCTTTAAGCTGCCTCATTTTTGCCATATCACCTGCAAGGTCTACACTGCCTCATTTGTTCTCTCGTATATCACGGTCACCATCAGTAGTGTCCGCACTGTCTGTTACCTTGTTCTGTCCCTCATGTACTGCCTCTATTCTGTCTCATTCCAACAATGAGCGCAATAATTTGCAGAAAATATTCAGGAACCGTGTAAACAATTAATTTTTGCATGCAAAATTCGATCCAAGCAGCATAAGAAATTCATGTAATCGACAAATACATTCAATGTCTGGGGTGCCACAGTGGTGAGATATTAACTCCCTCGTCTGGTGTGCAGGAGGTTGTAGTTTTAATCCCGACCCTGACGCCTGCTGTATATTTGGAGTTTGCATGTCCTCCCCGTGGTCGCGTGGATATTTTTTCCGAGTCCTTTGGTTTTTCCCTCCACATTTATAAACACGCGTTTTGAGTATTTGGATGCTATATATTTCCATATGATGATAAGCCACTTTGCTGGTCATGTCGCTTCTGAGAAAAAAAAAAGAGCTAAATTGCTCAGTGGGGCTTACCTGGTAAAATAACAAAGTTTTTTTTTTTATTAGTGTATCAAGCCAATTTGCAATCTAAACGAATTGCAACTTACCTCCAGCAAAAGCAATGTCTCATGGTCCAGCCACTCGCGGGATGCACTTGCTGCGGCCTTGCTCTGCGGACACAATACATTTACATCATGGGACATTTTTTCCCAATATCAAAGTATTAAAAACAAGAATAGGTTTTACCCTTTCTGGCAATAAAACAGGAGGTATGTTAAGATGTTCAAACAGCAAATAGATACATTATTGCAAGGAATCAAGTCTGCATTAACCACACATATTTGTGGTGAACATGCAAACAAACATGCTCTGATAATATTGATATTGTCTTTGCAATGTCTAGTGTAGGCCAATAAATGCAACAGGTGTCTGTTATAATTCTGACAAGTAGTTGTAAGCGCAAAAGCGTTTGCATGTTTGCAAAGTGGTTTTTGCTCTGGTTTTTGGTAAACCTATACATTTAGCCAGATTTCAATTCGGTGAGTAGGTAATAGCAACACAAACGTTTTACTGGACACTGTATACTATGCATTCTCTCCAAGGTGCCTCACTTTGAGTCGGTGCTACCAGATTCACTTCACTAGTAACTATCTTAAACATAAAAATATACGTGTTAAATGTCCTGGAATGCACTGTCCGTTGTGAAAGATTGACACGTGTTGAACTCGTGCCGCCAGCGTCCCAAATTGGTTTGGAGGTAGCAAAATACCTTAGCAGAGACGTTCTTCTTGGAGTATATGTCTGTGCGCAGCCCAAAACTCTGCACTTCTGCTGGCTTATCCCGTCCGCGGTCCACCAAGGTCAGCATGACCTGCGAGGCAGGGCCCTGCAAAAGCACACCTTTTCAGAGGGCTATCTCCATCCATTGTCAAGCCCGAGTGCACTGCTCCTCGTGTATATATATGCGTATGTACGTCTTTATTTTGAACTTCCTTCACACGTATGTAGCCAACCATGCTAATCGGAGGTGCTGGGGAAGAACAACAAGCTGAACACAAAAAGTAGTTCTAAAGAAATTAGCTTTCAATCTAGATGATTTAATAGTGAATAAGCTCAAGGGGCTTGCTAATATTGAAAGGAAGAGTGATCCAAACGGCCGCAGAAGTGCATCTGAAATCGCAGAAGTGCATCTGAAATCGCGCAAGCGGTGGCCGTCATTGTTCAATGGCAAGCCAAAAGCCGCTGCGAATACGTCTCGCAACTTGGGAATACATAACCTGGACCCACATACGGTATTCTTGTCATGTGAAAAAAATCAACAAGGTATTTACGTCACACAGGCAAACATCTTCTATTCACGCATCAATAGATACATCAAAATCATTGAGAAGCATAGGCATTACCAACATTTTTAAACACCAGTATTTGCAATAAATGACAGTTCTCTACTATTCACAAATGGTTTACATAGTCCACCATAAACCCACCCTGCTCAAGCGATATACCCTCTAGTTCCCCTTCTCACAAACTCCTGTATTTATTATGCACATTCATGAAACCAATAAAGCACAAAGGAGATACTCTCTTCCTACTACTCACAAAGTGGCCTCTTTCCCAAAAGTGTGAATGGGTGAAGTTGGCCCAAATACAGCACACTCTCAGGGGCACAACGACTTAATTCAACAAGTTGGGGTATGCAAGATCCGACTGTGGGTCCCCCCTCCTTTCTCCCGACTCACTTTGACTGAAATAGCTACAGATGTTTTTAACCTGTATACAATTATATGTAGGCTATAACTAAAAATATTATTTTAGTTTCACTGTGTATTTGAGTTTAAAGGAAGACAGTCTCAGTGACAGTATTAATAAAAGAGATGTAAAGGTACAAGACAACTCACAATTAATTTATCGTGCATCTTGCTTTCATGCCGAGGCTCACTGCTCTAGGATTTTCTCAAAGGAGGTGGATTGCGCAACTTTATGCCTCTCTATTGATATGATAGCCAGATACGTTGATCGAGCTTGATCAATGGTAGCCCGAAGGTCATTTAAATAAATAAATATTTATCCATTTTCTTAACATAGTTTACTTGTGAACCTGTTGATTCGGGGGCTGGGCCCCTATGCATTGTATAACGCTGCCACTCCCCCTTATAGTTGCGCCCCTGCACACACTTCACTTGCCCGTGGGGGGTGGTGGGTAGCCACACTCTGTGCACTCTCACCTGAGGGCCTCTTGGCTTCATCGGTGCCATGCCATTGGGTACATCAGCCAGCACGTGGAAGTGAGCGGTGGGAGGTGGCCCTGTAGGAGAAGGCTTGCTGTCCGGGTCCACTTGGTAGTTTATGAGCCCCCACTGCTCCAGAAACGCATGCACCCTGGAGTCGAGGCGTGCCCAGCCAACATGAGCAGACGTTGAATATCCGTGCGCGTGGTTAAGGGTCTCAGGGGCCTAACACTTGTGCTAGCTTGTAATGCGTTATTTTATATTCATCATTATCATCAGACACAAACAATTCACTGCTGGATGGAGACCTCCCTCAAGCTGCTGCATTGGGAACTGCTTTTTGTGTGAGTTTAGTTTTTTGTTCTTACCCTGCACCTCCTATGAGCACAATTGACTACGTACGGGGGCGAAAAAAGCTCAACATATATACATCTACAGATGAAATGTACCTTACAAGTGTAGTGACATCGCTGAATGTCAACATGCTGGGTGCAGTGCCGGCCCTAGAGGGGCACGGCGTGCGGTGTAGCGACATCGCGGATACCACAGTGGTGTGGGTGTAGTACCAGCCCTAGAGGGGCCCGGTGAATAATAGCGCTGAATGACACCACGCTTTGCGTGCAGTGCCGACCCTACAAGACAGGGTGTGTGGGTGCCGGCCGAAGGATGAGGTTACGTGAGGTCATGGCACTCTGGTTGACCCAGGAGGACACGTGACCGGTTAAGTTGACAAAGGGGCCCCAAGAGGGGGTGGGGGGTGGTCACGTGATTGGGACTCAAATCCTTCCCGAGGATTCTGGAAGGTGGATGTGGCCAAGAATGGAGCCGGCCACGCCACAGAGAATAGAAGCCGGGTACCGGGGTGGTTGTTCATCCTGGAAGAAACCCTTTGTCTATGTTCTCCGTTCAACGAGTCTCCAACACGTGGACCCGGGCCGAAGCTGTTGGTCCCAATCCGTAGTAGCAGTTACGTTGTAACTAGTGTAGTTAGCCTGGTGGTCACCACCATAGGTTGTTATTATGTTAAGGGGAAAGTTACCCCGTGTGTTGGAACTGAATAAATGTGTTGCCTCTAAGTCTACGTCTGTGACTCAGTTGAACCCATTACACAAGTGTAAATTATTATCCTTAATTTATTATTATTTTCTGCTCGTTTATCCAGGGAAGTGTAGCTGATTCTCATGACTCATTCAGGAGGGTCTTGCCAAGTTTTCTCAGTAGGGGGGGCGATGATTTCTAAGTAGATTCCAACTGAGTAATTTGCGTGAAGGACGTCAAGGGATCCTTAACGCCGACTGCGAAGTGGACAGCGCGGACTTCCACAGTTAATCCATCTGCAGACTTAATCGGGGCGGCCCACTCAATTCAAACCGCGAACCTCCCCAAGGCGCTGCGATGATCCACCATGGCCATTGCACTCGATCGGATGTCATCCCTCCAATGGGCGAGGGACGTCTTCCCGGGGCGTGCGTTCTCTCCCCTTGACTGACATTCCATCATTATTGATGACCAGTATATTTAGTTTTTTTGTTTGTTGTCCTTCCCCCGCAACCTCTGATTAGCACAGTTGGCTATGTACGGGGTTGGAAGAAGTTCAACATCAGCCATCATATCCTTTCCAGCGGCCGTGTCCTGCCCCAGCCCCACTTGTCGCTTGCCAGTGCTGGAGGTTGAACATCACGCAATGAGCATGACTTGCCCGTGGCCGGAATGGGATACGTTACATTCTGCGTCACACCTTCCTCGTGTGCCCAAGCACCACCGCGGCCCCAAGTCAACAGGGCATCCTCAGGATTTATTTAGTGGCTATCATGTGGATAACAATAAATCACCTTGGTTAGTTAACAATATTAATAACATACTTTGATCCAAAAGGTTTTTTTTATTTTATTCAAGACCGAAACAGGAGGAGGATTTCTCCACAATTCGCCAATGAGGCTTGGTTGTATTTACCAGCGAAACATCATAGTACTCGAATTGTAAATGTTGCAGTGGGTTTACTCTCCAACACACCAGTGTGCCGATCTAGGAACTAATTGGCATGTTTTGTTTACGTGACAAACCTTACTAACTGGGCTATGTTGGGTGGTGGTGGGTTTATTGATAGATCTACAATTACGCGATGTAACCTAAAAAAAAACCATTATAAATAATATTGGTCGCGAAAGCCTACTTACTACGTGTTAAACTAAAATACTTCCAGCGCCAAAGGTAACAACCATTGAAAGCACCTATTTTGTGATTTATCTCTGACAATCAAATGCATAGCTGCTTTGTTGCTACCGGAGAGTCAGCTGTGTGGCTCTTTCAACAAACCCCTACCCCAACCCCCCACATGACCACTATCCCTTCTGGTTTATTACATTGTCACTGCTCTTTATGGATAATAATTTATTCCAGATAAAGGGCAGCACATTGGCAAGCAGACGAATCCCATGGGGCAGCAATGTCTCCATGAAGCGCAAAGCCTTAATGGAAGACGGGAGAATGAGAATTTGTGGACACAGGGTTAAACAGTCGCGCGCTGATCTACTTATATGGTAAGCTTATTACGTACTGTATATTGCTCATCTGTTGTGCTGATTTTGCAGCTGTAATTTGGCTCACCAGGTGGAGGACATACTGAAGTATGAATAATAATAGACTGTTGGTCCTAGTGCAGGCTTTGAGAAAACGTAATAAAATCACGCACACCACATTTTGGTAATCACCATGCCAGATGGTTTTCTGTCTCAATGAATTTCCATCATGTGTCCACACGTTTGGTCACATGACGGCTGACTGGACAACACGCTATAGAAATCACTCTCATCGGGGGTTAAACGGCTAGGAACGTTGGTATGATCACTCCTTCCCCCGCACCTCCAATTAGCACGATTGGCTACATACGGTGTGAAATAAATTCAACGTACATACACACATACAACAAGGAGATAACGTACTTAGACTGTCACAAGGAAGTGATGCTGGTTTCTCAGCTGAGCAGGATGACAGTGTTCACAACGCTGTTTATTTCATAGGACGAGACCTCATTAAGGGAGATGTAATGACAGAGCAAATAGAAGACTGGATACTGCTAATATCATACGATACCACAGCAAGAATGTACCTTAATGTACCCTACCATAAAATAAATTATATTTTTAATCCTCACAATCACATATTGTTAACTGATGTTGAATGTGTTAAACGTTGGATATGTTTTGTGACTTAGATCTCCCTCGCAAGGGAGACTGTTTGGGTCTCAAGGGGCTCCACATTAAATTATACACTTGATTACCCAATATTTTATTTAAACCAGGCTCTCACCTAGTTTAAATAAAGATTTAATTCAGGAGGAACCATTTCTTGGCTCAGTTTTTATTTAATTGACACGATATATTTTTTGTAATTTTTCACGGAACATTTATTTCACTCAGTGAAGTTCACGTGCAGCGATGTGAATGTTCCATCGTTAACGAGGTGCAAAGATGTTTGACTACCGATCACCCGATGCCTGCACTAAACAAGCCGAGTGATACTCTGGTCAGGTTCCGAGCTCGCGCTGCAGCTGTGCAATGCACCGCGTCACAATGTCACAATCGCCTGCATACACACCTAGTTCACAAAATATACTTATATATCTGTATACATTTTTTATTTATGTATATTTTCTAAGTGATTTGTTTACCTTTCCTATACTTTGCACTTCTATTGTGTTTTTGTATTGTTTGTTGTTGTAAAGTTCTGATCTGCCCCTACTGAACATCTGTGAAAAAGCGCTTTATAGCTCATCGAATTTCTTCAGCATAAATATTCAGATTCTTCACGTTCCGTGGCCTCGTAATGTAAGTACATGTGTTGAACGTCTTGGGCAACGTACGTAGCCAACTGTGCTAATCCGGGTGCGGGGGAGGACAACAAACTTAACAGAAAAAGCAGTTCTAAAGAAATGCGTTAAATATCAGTGATATAATGACATTATCCAAGAAGGGATCACCAGCTTCTTCCTTTAATTTAGTGCCCATAAGACATCCACCTCCCATTGGAACGGTTAGCATGGTTTTGTCTACGTACGTATGGTGCTAAAGAAGTGTAACATACATACATACATCCAGCCACTTTTCATCAGCTGTGATGAACACTGCCTTCCCAGAAGCCGTCATGACCCCTGTCAGTCATGCGATGTAAACATGTCACCCAGCACCTGCATGTTAGCAGGCTGCCCTCTGGGAAGAGTTCCCTATATTTGGCAGCCACTCCATCGTGAGTCCCAAACAAAGGCCAAGATTGCCTTTGAGGAGTATCCTGCCCAAGGCCACCTGCTTTTATTGCCAGCAAAGATTATTCCTTTAACCTGCACGTCTTCTGCAATGCACGTGTTCAACTTGGAATTTCGAGGTGTAAATTCAAAAGATCTATAAATAGTAAACCAGTCAGCTTTATGGTTGAATTATTTATCATTACACTTTTTTACAGTAGAGGGCGACAATTTACATGTGATTGCCAATCAAGTATTTTATTTTACAATTTTGGCTAATAATGTTTATCATGATTGGTGCGATCATTATTGCAAATGGGACGACCTCGTGAGTTCTCATTTTGGTTAAACAAATAAACTTGACTTGGCACTGCTCTATAGGAGGCCGATCTCACCTGATAATAGCACACACGTCCCCAGCCAGGCTTCGCCGACACACCATTCCACTGAGATATTCCTGGGGGTTGAGCCGGTAGGTGTCAATCATGAAGTTCCTGTATGCCAGATAGCTGCAACGCACGGAAAACAAAAAACACAGCTCGGTTCAGTATCCCTCGTGACGCCGGGGGGGAGCTTCTTCATACCCGAGTGATTCTCACCAATTCAGAGCAACAACAGCAATCCCTCATGAGTCACTAATCCTAGTTACCATAGCTGGAAGCCTTTAACCAACTGGCAATGAAAGGCATGGGGATGAATACATAAACATATTGGTGGTACACCAGTACGTGCGGTATAAAAAAAAGCACACTTTTAGCAACAATTATTATTTATTTTCTCGAGATTTGCAAACCCCGGTCAGGAAATCTTGCGGGGTTGTGTGCCAAAATCAGTTCTCGTAATGCCGAAGTAGTCGGAAGACGAATGTTTATAGGAGCGGCTGAACACGAAGCTTTACAGTCTGTTGCCGTAGAGCAGCACCCAGCCCTGATGACGATTGGCTGCTCCGTGTTCCAAAGACAGATTTGACTCGTGCCCTAGACTTCATCGGACGGTTCCTTGATTTATTTCCGAAATCATTTCTTGGCGGACGGTGGCATCAAAAGATTACCATTCATTCTAGATTTGAAGCTTTCGTGACTGCAAGGATTCATATTCTTAGGTTTTTTCGGTAAAGTCACGTAGGTAATAAATAAATAATTTGATAAAAGTAAAATAAAATCACGACGTTTCGGAGGCAACACAAGCTTCCGTCTTCAGGTGGAACCGTCACAGCCACGACAGCTGTATCAAGTAAATGAGAGATTACAAGAGCTACCACTCCGTATATATAATGGTTGAAGAGGGGAAGGGCCAAGTACGGCACACTTTTTATTAATATGGTAAGGTGAGGCTTAAGACTAAGAATAGACTGCATAACAAAAGACTGAGCCTTTGTTATGGAGGTACGGTTTGTGACTACGCCTAGCCTACATAACAAAAGTGTGAAAAAAGAAAACACTAAACCTGATAAAACAAGACTGGCTGTCTATCAATAACCTGTAATAGTTGTCTGTCAAATAAGATGGTCCAAATAAGTGTAGTTAAATCTTTTTTGCATGGTTAATCACATCTTTCCAATGATTACTCAGTTTGTAACCATCATCACGGTTGAAATTATGTCTGTGTTTGTATATTTGTATGGCTTTGTGTACAAACCTTTGATGGTAGCCAGGAGGTTTGCAGAGCACCTTGGTCTCGGAAAAGACAATTTCATGAGAGCCCACAGAGTTGTAGCAATGATCGGCAACGGCCGAAGAATCAGTTCTGCCGTGTTTCAGATCTGACTTGTGCTCGCGGACACGATCAGAAACATGACGTTTCGTTTCTCCAATGTAGCAATCACCACAACTGCAACTCAATTTGTAGACTCCAGGATACTGTAAGTCAGGAACAACATTCTTCACAGATGGAATCAGATCACGGATTTTATGCACTGTACTGAATCGGACTTGGATCTTATGTTTGTTTAGAATTTTGGAGATCTTTTTGGTCACGCCTGCTATGTATGGTAACGTGATAGTTTTGGTCGGAGTTTCATGTGGCTGTTTCTGTATGGTGGGAAAAACAGCTTGGCGGATGGTGCGGTCAGAGTATCCGTTCATCCTGAGGGCCCGATGTACATGTCTTAATTGACCAGCCAGGTGGTGTTGGTCAGAAATGCCATGGGCTCTGTGGTATAGCGTTTTGATGAGAGAATTCTTTTGAGATGGGTGGTGGTGGGAATCCGGTTTCAAGTAGGAATCTGTGTGGGTGGCTTTCCAGGAGACAGAATGTCCCAAGGATCCGTCAGGTCTCCTCTCAAACAGAATATCCAAGAATGGTAGTTTACCATCTTTTTCCACTTCCATGGTGAATCTGATGGATGGGTGTCTAGAATTTATGTGGTCCAAGAAGTGGTTCAATGCTGGGAGGCCATGTGGCCAGATGACGAAAGTGTCATCCACATACCTCTTCCACAGGGAAGGACGCAGGGTGGATGTCTGGATGGCGTCTGATTCAAACTTTTCCATGAACATGTTGGCTATAACTGGTGACAAGGGGGAGCCCATAGGGGTACCCTCATTCTGTTTGTAGAAGGTGCCATTCCAGGTAAAATAGGTGTTGGTGAGGCAATGCCTAACCAGCGCAGGTACATCAGAATTCAATCCATGTTGGACTAAGTCCTCAATTATTGTTAGGGTGTCCGGTACTGGGACTTTGGTAAACAAAGATACTACATCAAAACTGACGAGGATGTCATCAGGAGATAGTACCATGTCCTTAACCATAGAGACTAATTGGGTTGAGTTGAGTACTGCCGAAGAGGTCTTGCCTGTGAAGGGAAGCAGAGTATCTGATAGAAAACGGGCTAGTTTGTAGGTAGGAGAGTTTATCGTCGACACGATGGGTCGTAGCGGGGTGCCTTCTTTATGGATCTTGGGAAGACCATAGAGTCTGGGAGGTCTAGCCGCCGATGGTTTTAGAGAGGGACGTTTGCTTGGTTCGATTAGGGAAGTCGAACTCGTGATGATACTGTTGGTTTTTGTCGTTAGGCTTTTAGTGGGATCGTTTTTAATTTTGGAGTAACTCCCATCATTAAGAAGGTCCAGGATTTTGTTGTTGTATGAATCTTTATCCATGATGACCGTGGCATTGCCCTTGTCTGCCGAGAGGATGACTATATCATCTCTTTTTTTTAGGTCCGCGAGTTCAGAGCGCTCGTTTTTGCTGATGTTACTAGTGGGTTTCTTAGCATTCTTAAGAATAGTAGCTATTTCAGCTCTTGCTACATCCGCATGGATGTGTCCTATGCCTCTGAGGGCTACATCAATCTGAGAAATCACATCCTCTACTGGTATATATTTAGGGGTGACGGTGAAATTTAGTCCTTTGGCCAATACCGTTTTTAGATTGTCAAAAATTGGGATGTGTTTTTTCTTTTCCTACCTACAAACTAGCCCGTTTTCTATCAGATACTCTGCTTCCCTTCACAGGCAAAACCTCTTCGGCAGTACTCAACTCAACCCAATTAGTCTCTATGGTTAAGGACATGGTACTATCTCCTGATGACATCCTCGTCAGTTTTGATGTAGTATCTTTGTTTACCAAAGTCCCAGTACCGGACACCCTAACAATAATTGAGGACTTAGTCCAACATGGATGGAATTCTGATGTACCTGTGCTGGTTAGGCATTGCCTCACCAACACCTATTTTACCTGGAATGGCACCTTCTAGAAACAGAATGAGGGCACCCCTATGGGCTCCCCCTTGTCACCAGTTATAGCCAACATGTTCATGGAAAAGTTTGAATCAGACGCCATCCAGACATCCACCCTGCGTCCTTCCCTGTGGAAGAGGTATGTGGATGACACGTTCGTCATCTGGCCACATGGCCTCCCAGCATTGAACCACTTCTTGGACCACATCAATTCTAGACACCCATCCATAAGATTCACCATGGAAGTGGAGAAAGATGGTAAACTACCATTCTTGGATATTCTGTTTGAGAGGAGACCTGACGGATCCCTGGGACATTCTGTCTACAAGAAAACCATCCACACAGATTCCTACTTGAAACCGGATTCCCACCACCACCCATCTCAAAAGAATTTGCTCATCAAAACGCTATACCACAGAGCCCATGGCATTTCTGACCAACACCACCTGGCTGGTGAATTAAGACATGTACATCGGGCCCTCAGGATGAATGGATACTCTGACCGCACCATCCGCCAAGCTGTTTCTCCCACCATACAGAAACAGCCACATGAAACTCCGACCAAAACTATCACGTTAACATACATAGCAGGCGTGACCAAAAAGATCTCAAAAATTCTAAACAAACATAAGATCCAAGTCCGATTCAGTACAGTGCATAAAATCCGTGATCTGATTACATCTGTGAAGGATGTCGTTCCTGACTTACAGTATCCTGGAGTCTACAAATTGAGTTGCAGTTGTGGTGATTGCTACATTGGAGAAACAAAACGTCATGTTTCTGATCGTGTCCGCGAGCACAAGTCAGATCTGAAACACGGCAGAACTGATTCTTCGGCCGTTGCCGATCATTGCTACAACTCTGTGGGCTCTCATGAAATTGTCTTTTCCGTGACCAAGGTGCTCTGCAAACCTCCTGGCTACCATCAAAGGTTTGTACACGAAGCCATAAAAATATACAAACACAGGCATAATTTCAACCGTGATGATGGTTACAAACTGAGTAATCATTGGAAAGATGTGATTAACCATGCAAAAAAGATTTAATTACACTTATTTGGACCATCTTATTTGACAGAAAACTATTACAGGTTATTGATAGACAGCCAGTCTTGTTTTACCAGGTTTAGTTTTTTCTTTTTTCACACTTTTGTTATGTAGGCTAGGCGTAGTCACAAACCGTACCTCTCCATAACAAAGGCTCAGTCTTTTGTTATGCAGTCTATTCTTAGTCTTAAGCCTCATCTTACCATATTAATAAAAAGTGTGCCGTACTTGGCCCATCCCCTCTTCAACCATTATATATACGGAGTGGTAGCTCTTGTAATCTCTCATTTACTTGATACAGCTGTCGTGGCTGTGACGGTTCCACCTGAAGACGGAAGCTTGTGTTGCCTCCGAAACGTCGTGAATTTTATTTTATTTTACTTTTATTAATTTTTATTTTTTTTTACCTACGTGACTTTACCGAAAAAACCTAAGAATATTACCATTCATGGTGTCACCCCACGTTCAAATGGGAAAGCAGCTGCTGAATCTAAGGCAAATTCTGATGGAGAGTCTGCCGCTCACTCAAGGGCAACAGTGACATCGTCAGACTCTTTTATGAGGGCCGGTGTATTATGCTGCATCGGTGTACCGCCAATACGTCCACATGTTTAAGGATGATTTGCGTTACAGAAGTTAGGGCCTTTGCTATGAAACAGTGATTTAGAGAATACTATCCAAAATCAACAATTTAAAAGCATAACTCAAAACGCATGCAGCCATTTTTAAAATATCATTCCACATTCATTTATGGTAATTGTGGAAGTGAAATTCATTATAAAA